ACTATGGAGCTTCTGCGCATAAAAATATAAAACTGTGGTAGAAACACAGTGCCATAGTCTTTAAGGCTGTTTGCAATGTTTCATACATTGCATATCTTTGCAACTTTGCTTTGCCCCTTTCTGGGAAGTGCTGTACCTATGGCCTCAGGATACACATTTCTCCTCATAATGAAGCCAGAAGGAGAGAAAAAGAAGCCCATGACCAGTGATGTCCCTGGTGCAGAGTGGCTTGGGCTGATATACACCCCACATTCCTTCAGCCGCTTGGGGTTTTGTTTTATTCCTGTGGTTGGTGGGGCCTCTAATGGGCTCCTGTCACTGACCATGCTCACCACCAAGGTTTTCAGGTGTCAATTAAACCCATAAATGAAACTTAGTGAGTCACTCACACCTTATCAATGAGTTTTTTTTCCTCCCTCCCTCCCTTCTTTCTCCTTTTTTTTCTTTTTTAAAAAGTATTTTATTTATTATTTCTATGTGTATGTGTGTATTGCCTGCATGTAGGTAAGTGCACCCGTGTCGCGCAAAGCCAGCAGAGGACAGAAGAGGCTGTCAGATCCCCTAGAACAGGAGTTATGGACAATTGTTAGTGGCCATGTGCGTGCTGGGATTCGAACCTGGGTCTTCTTCAAGAGCAGCCAGTGTTCTTAACTTCTGAGCCATCTCTCCAGACCCTCTTTCTTTCTTTTTGAGACAGGGTTTCACTGTGTAGCCCTGGCTGGTCTAGAACTCACTATAAAGACTAGGGTTGCCTTGAATTCTTGGGGAATCCCCCTCTATTAGCCTTGACAATGCTGGGATTGTGGGTGTGTACCACTAGGCCTGACTTTCAGTGAGATTCTTCTTAATGAGTATTAACTTGAGCTTTGATTTGTGGTCTGCTTACACTTTCCTAGTCTGAATCCAGAACCCTTAGATAAGTGAATTCCTAGAGTGAAACCTCCTTTGTCTTTGTTAGTTACTTTTTTGTTGCTGTGATAAACCATGACCAAGGCAACTTACAGAAGGAAGAGTTATTGGGTTTATGGCTCCAGAGGGATAAGAGTCCATCATGGTGGGAAGGCATGGCAGGA